GTTGTGACACAAAGTTTATCAAAATAATATATGTAAAATTTTAGTGGTTTTTATGCAATTGTAAAAATTCAAATATCATGTTCTTCCTTTGAATTATACAAAGCAATAATGTTATTTAGTGAGTACGATTTATTCTATAACAAAATTATATATGTTCAATTTCAACAAAATAATTATTTTATTTAAATTTTAAGTTTTGTTTGATTCTCATTTAGTTTAGAATACATTTTTCTTTTCTTTATTTTCGATCAAATATTCTTTAATAAAATAATATTACACATAAATTCAAAAAATTTTATTATTTTTAACTACACATTTTCCATCAAATCACTATTCCAAAATACATTTTTTGTAAAAAATGACATCAAACGAGCTCTTAATATTTTATTACAGCCGCCCGTGCTGGCTCAACAACTTGATTCGCCCTTGACCACCACGTTGCAGCTTGTAAGGCAATTGATTTAATGAATGAATTCAAAAAGGAAAATAATTATTAGTATTTAAATGAGCAATTAAAAGAATTAATTAAATTATTAAGAACAAGATCTGTGCTAGGTTGCCCTTCAGTTGCATAATTTTTTTAGGAAAAATCTAAGGGTGTTTTTTATTAGCATTATTTTCCATTAAAAATGTCATTTTTCCACCCAAATTCCTACTTTTTGAGTGTTTGATAATTTTTTCCATGAAAAATGATTTCCAACTTTTGGTCACATGATCATATTTTCCTCGAAAATAAGGAAAATATTTTCTTTAGGGAGATGTGGTTTTTATTTTCTAGGTAATCACATTCTCTCTCTTTCATCTATCCCCTTTCTCTTTCATCTAACCACCAATAAAAAATTGACAATTATAATAATTTCTAAATTGAAAATTAAATCAGTCAAACACATTTAATTGATAATTTTCATTGAAATAAGTCATGACAATTCAATTGTTTAAAATTTATTTTCTCTCCATATAAATTTTACACTTACAATCAAACTCTCCCTAAATGAATTTCGAGAAAATGGGCTCAAATAGCTTCGTCGAAGGTCATGGCATCAATATCAGCACCTAATCTAGATCTGCCACATCATTCTTCTTCTTATTTACTTTTAGTTACTGATGGATCTATAACTATGGGGGAAACTTTGAAGAATACTTATTATGTTCTCGATTCGTTTGTTGTGAAGAATAACAATGTCGAGGTGGGGATGCCGTTATGGATGATGGCGATGCTGGTGGAGGAATGAGATATGGAAGTGGTGATGGAGACGGAGAGAATCTGTCTGATTTGGGTGGGTATTGAGTATGGTGGAATGGAGACTTAGAGAGAGATATTTAGTCAGACTGGAGTGCGTATTGAATTAATTACTTAATAGGTTATGTATTTTATTTTATTTTTAAAAAAAAGGTAATTATCACCTGTTGAAAAAGAATATTTAAAATGTGAATTTTGAAACTAGAATTTAAAAAGAAGGGTTAGAGGTAATTTTCCCCTGTTATCTCTGTCAAGATTACACCACATACACAATTTTAATAAACTAGTCAAACTTAAATATGTATTGCACATTATTCTAAAATACTTTATAAATGATGGAAAAGTAATATTTGATACCAATTTGTTTGAAAATTTGATGAGTCTCAAACAAATTAAAGAAAATAAAATTTAGTGTAGAAATTTAAGAGAAGAAAATTGTATTCAAATTGTACTCTCAAAATTCAATTTCTATTATTCAACTTTTTTTAATGATTAAATACTATAAATAAGCAATCTTTTATATTACATTTGATACATAAAAATTAATACATAAATTTAAACACTCTTTAAAATTTTCAGATACATAAATATAAATAAATTCATCTATAATAACTCTAGATTCATCTAATTCAATAGTCATCAAGTGAAAATTCATTGAATCTAGATGAATATGAATGTTAATTCATTAAGAATTAGAATAACTCAAATTTCATAAATAACAATAATTTTGTAGTATTTATTACATATCGAAAAACGAAAAGTAAAGTATTATTGAAATAATTGAATTATAGGTGTTAAAATCGTCCAAAAAATAATTCATATCATTTTAAAATATTATAGATTATTTAGATAATACAATTCTTCAATTTTATTCCAAATAATACTACAATATTGAAGTAAAGATGAAATCTTAAAAATAATCCTCTCTCTCTCTCTCTCTCTCTCTCTCATAATTGGTTGGGAAAATTGTAGCAGCGGTCCCAAACGTTTTTAATTTTTGTAAACTTTATCCTAACTTTCATTTTGTGCTAAAAAAGATCTCTACCATTTCATAAATATGCAACTGAAGTTCAAATGAATGGAATCCATCCAATTGACCTTTAGTTGACCAAAGAATTGACATTAACTCCAATTTTGACTAATTTTAAAAGGACAAAGGGTAACTTTACATTTTTTTTACACAAAAAATTAAAAAACAAAAACCAAAAAAAATATTAAAGAAATCTACCCCAATCCCTTACCCCAACCTACCCCACCCCTCATGAAAATAGAAAGGCCGGTGATCAACACTTTCTTCTTCCCTAACTCCCACCCACACCGGTGGGACACAAACATGCTCCAGCCACAACATAAAGCATGAAATGCTGACCCAGAAATACCTGCGAAGCTGAGGTAATTTTTGCCCATACCCCTACAATCACAACAAAATACTCAACAAGCGTATATTAGCATCAAACTTCAATCGGGTTACCAAAATTTGTTCCACTGAAGCTGAATAGAAGCTAATAAGGGTGGCAACGAAGGAAACTCTATAGAGTGCCCACCAGGGAAAGATCCGCATGGTCAACAATGAAAGAGAGGAACTGAGCGAGGGCGTTGGATGAAGTGTTTGAGAAGACCAATGAAGAGAAGTGAGGGAATGATGGGGAAAAAGAGACCGCCATCATCGAAGAACTCCAAAAATTTGAGGATCGAGAAGGGTAAGATAGGATGAAAGAAGGTATAGAGGTGGAGAGAGATTGCAGTGTCTAGGTTTATTAGGCGGCCGAGGAGGGATGGAGATGGTGGTTGTGGTTGTTTAGATTCCATGATACTTGATTTTCCCGTGAACCTCATTTCAGTTTGAGTGGTTGACGATTGTTTATGTTTTTTTGGTTTTGGATAGGGTACAATGGTGTCGGCGATTGTTTATTTTTATTTTTATTTTTAAATTTTTTTTTGGTTTTGGGGTAGGTCCAATGGTGAGGGGTGGAAGATGAGGATTTTCATTTTCCTTTTTGTTTATTTCTTAATTTAATTTTTAACTTATTTTTAGGGATAAATGCAAAGTTACCATTTTGCCCTTACTAATATGGTCGAAATTGTTAAAATTTTGTCTTTTAGGTCAATTAATGGTCAAATTCCATCCATTTGGACTCCAACTGCATATTTATGAAAGGTTGGGGACCTTCCCTGGCACAAAATGAAGGTTGGAATAAAATTTGTAAAAATTGAAAAGGTTTGGGACCACTACTACAATTTTCCCTAATTGGCTCAACCAAATAGTCCATAACTTAATTTCACTTAGTTATTGCTATGAGATCCCCAAATTTATACCAATTCAGTATCAACTTTTTCGCCATCAACACATTAAGCAAACCAGTGTTCGTTTGATTACAAAGGTAGAAAAAGCAAATCAATTGCATGTAAGTTGGGAAAAAAAATCATCAAAACCATAGGAATTCGATTTCCATGGAATTGGCTAAAAACATGCTTTAAGTGTTTGTATCTTGAAATTCGAGCTTTATTTCCACTTTCATATCAACAGCCAAAGTAGAAAACGAATTTCTTAAATGTGACATTTTTCATGGAATTTGTTTCAATCAAACAGACCTTAAGAGTGTATTCAATTGGAACTTTTAAAGACTTTTAAGAACTTTTTTTAGGCGATGACTTTTGTGAATTTCGTAGACTTTTTTGATGAATTTGTATGAAATTAATTGAAGTCTTTCATAGATTTCTATGGATTTTCATTTTAAAACTTTTTATAGACTTTTGTAGAATTTAAAAACTTTTGAAGACTTTTTCGTTTAAAATGGAATTCACGTGAGTCTAGAACAATATTATAAAATTCTCACATACGAGGTGGTGATTCCCACAATTCTCTTTCACCTCTCATGTAATAAAAAATATTTTTAAAAGAATAAATATGTCACCTTAATTAAATAAATAATAATCTAAATAATTGTCAATGTGACGTACCTTTAAAGAGTAAACAACGAATCAATATATTCAAATTAAATTTATTTATAAATAGTCTTTTTTATATAAAATCTTATAATTTTCATTTGCAAATAGATATTTTTCATAAAAAAATGATGAAAATTTTTATAAGACTCTTTAGTTACAATTTAAAGTTTTCATAGAAAATGGAGATAAAAAGTAAGGGGGAGTAAAAAAGAAAAATAAATATATCAATAGAAAAAATAATTTCTAATCATAACTCTAATTTTTGTAGATCGGAAAAAGAAAGAAAGATATTGAAAAAAAAAATTATGTGTGAATTTTTGGGGTAAAAGTCTCCCAAAATCTTGAATGAATAAGAGAAAAATTTTAAGATTTTATTTTAGTATTTTCTGCTTAAAAATTAGTACTCTAGAAACTTTTATAAACATCCTTAAAAGTTTATGAACAATTTGAATACCTCGAGATTTATAGAGACTTTTATAAAACTTTAATTAAATACATTATAACTTTTAAAGATTTTATCAGTCTATAAGAGTTTAAAAAGTCTACATTGAATACCCTTAAATTTTTTAAATTCCAAAAAGTCTTTAAAAGTCCCAAATAAAGAGTTAATTTAATGAATGCTCACCGAACTTTAACCTATACTGGACAATAAAATATAACCCACTGCTCACCCATCTATTCAATATCTTACCCGTTTATCACCCGTTTTATCTCTGTTATCTTCTACCAACAGAATATGCCATGTGTTCAACGAAAATATGACGTGGCAAGTAACAAATTTAATCACGCCAATTGGACCACAAATTAAAACCCGTTTTTTGCAGCTACATTTGAAACTCAAATTCAACCCCAAATCCATGAAGAACCCTAAAATTCGTCACCAAAATTCCAGCTTGAATCTTGATGTTTAGGAAATACACACACACAATTGACTCTAAAGAGAGGCTGATTAGTTGGTAGTATGTATGATTTCTTTATTCGCGAGAAGAAAGGGTGAATAAGGAGCTGACAGTTCGAATGAAATGGAACCTGAAATCCGATGCTCCACTAGGCTTCCACAACAAAGGAACTATGGCATTTTGAAACAAATAGATAGTGGAAAAGTAAACTCCCCTCAGATTTTTGACTCCAAAGAGGTTGATTAGTTGAGTGATTTTTATTTATTTATTTATTTTGCTGTAGGTTTTCACAACAATAAATTTTTTGGTTTGGTGATTGGTTATATTTTTTAATTTCACGTTGCATCCATGAGACTGGAATAATTTATTGAACTTTGTGTGTAAGAAAATTACTTGGCATCAACTTGTGGTCCCCTCCAATTCGAGATGATAATTGCAATACTAGAATAAATTCTTTTTTTTTTTTTTGGCAGAGAGTATGCAACGTTGGAGACGCTGGGTGTGCAATTGACATGGAATTGAATCAAATTCTTACAGAAATAGAATGAATGCAAAGAAAAGTGTCTTCATTATTAGTGCCACAAAACAGGGCTGATACAATCGATCACGTGCTTATTCGTTATGGACGTCTTGATCATTTGATTTACATAAAGGAAAATTGCCTTCATGATTGGAGCCACTATGTTAACATTTTTCCCTGTAGTGTAATAGGAAAATTGGTGGCTTGTGTTCTATGTATATTGAACCTATAAATGAATGGAATTTAATTTAATCCTTCATGTGTTTAAGGATTTAGTTTGAAATGTTAATCTTTTATTGTGTTTTGTATATGACAATTGCATTGAGCCTTAAGATGCTTTATGGTGCAATCAGGAGCATCAGCTATATGCCAATTGCTAGTTGATGAGTTGCTGCAATCTGAAGCATCAACTATGAGGATGCAATTGCACAGGTTAAATGCATTCTGATGCAAAGTTCTGATGCATCATATTGCATTTAACTTGTGCAATTTGATGTTTAAATGAATGCAAATTACAACACCAAATAGTTCGTTACCAATAACATCAAAAAAGCTTTCATTCATTCCATTAAGAAAGCACAGTAAAGTAATTCAAGTAGTTCATTACAACACCAACCAGCCTGTTGCAAAATATGGAATAACTTTTAAAGTAAAGAACTAAAAGTAACTTGGTGTTCTACTGAGTAGCTGCATTTTCTTGAATTTCAATATGTTGCAAAATTTCCACCATAGTTTGGAGTGGGATATCTTCAGTTGGGACTTGCACAAATGCTTCAGTTGTCGTGCATTTCTCTGTCCTCGAATAACCAGGTGTTAGCATGAATTGGAACTCGAACGGTGGAGGTGGTGGCGGTTGAACTTCATTTCTTGAACTCGTGTTTGATCTCCTAGGCGCTATCTTTGCTATGAAAAAAATGGAATAACCAAAATGAGCAAACAAATAATCAGTTTGGATACAAATTAAACCCAAGCCAATACTATTGCGAAACACAAAACACGTTAGGTTACCCTTAAATTTTGATCATTAATCTCACTAGAATTTTCTTGAATTGCACGTTCCACGTCATAAGCATTGCAATCCTAAATAAACGAACACATGAAATAATTATAATCATTCTGAGCAAACGAATAATTCTAAGCAAACGTATGAAATGTTTACAATTAAAATTATTTAAAAGAACACAATCCTCTTTGGGTACATTAGGCCTCTGATGGTATCGTTTGTTGTGCCCTGTTCCTCCACAGACACTACAAGTCATAAGCACGGATCCTCGTTTCTTCATTTTTACTTTTGAGCCTAAACGGGTGATGACATCTTTTTACTGTTGTCTCTTTTTCTTCTTTTGTTTTCTACCCCTTTTGGGCACACACCAACCTTGTGGTCTGATTGGTGGGGCGTCACTTGAAGGCCATAACTTTGAGCCATTTATAGGATTAATAATATTCTCATAGCAACTAAGGTAGGTATCAACCCTATAGCACTCATGAACGTACTTCCAAGGCTCATCATATCTGTCTATAATGGCGGCAACTGCATGAGCACAAAGAATCCCTGTCAAATCCCATCTTCTGCACACACACATCCTATTTGAAAGATCAACAACATATTCTCCACTTGAACACTTCACATATGATTGTGCTCCCCCTGACCAGTCTACCTCAAACCCCTCAGTCGTTTCACTGCTCTTCAATAATTTTCGTCGTATTTTAGGGCATAAAGGTCCTATGGATTTGCTCATCTTATCCCTCCTTGATTGTATCCTTTTCATGAAGCTTATGTGTATATCAATTAACATGGTCAATATGGACTTTTCCCTATCCCCCAACACCACATTATTAAATACCTCTCAAAGATTATTCAGAACTATATCACTCTTCACCTTTGTCAGAAAGTGAGATTTACTCCACTCAGTAGGGTGCTTCTTCATTAATCAACCATGTGCAGCCTTGCTCACCTTCTCGATTTCATCCATCCAGAACTTCCAATTAGAAATTATTGTTGACTTCACAGCCCTCCACAAATAGTCCTTCAAAGTCAAACTCTTAAAATCAGCTTTAAAGAAATTGGTGTACATGTGCCTAACACAAAATCTATGTTCATCTTCTGGATATAAATCTTCTATAACATTCTGCAAACCTTTTTGTCTATCAATCATAAAAGACCACTCGTTGCTATTCATAATTTTCAAATCTTCACCTAAATGTCTTATGAACCACCTCCAAGTAGTAGCATTCTCTCTCTCCACTATAGCATACGCTACAGGATAAATAAAATCGTTGGCATCTAATGCCACTACCACGAGCATCTGATCTCCAAAAGTCCCTCTAAAGAAACACCCATCTAATCCTAAAAGTTGCCTACAACCTACAAAGAAACCTCGCTTGCAAGCTTCTAAACAAACATATATTCCTTGAAACTTTTCAACATTCATGGCAATGATACATGTAGAACCTGGATTGGTTCTCAAAATTTCAGCTACAAAAGATCTAGACAAGCCAAACGGGTGCTCATCGAACCCTCTATTAATATCCTAGCATATCTTCTAGCCCGCCAGGTAGTAACGTCGTTGATTGTCAACTTCAAATCATCCTTTATAGCCTTCTTAATCAATCTAGTCTTCCAATTGGGATCTACTTTAAAAGTCTCCAAAAACCTCTTAGTTATATACCTAGCAATACAATGCCTATTTGTTCTGTCCCTCTTGCATGTGTGCTCTGAATTCTTTGACTTTATTTGCACACAACCAACCGCTTTATTCAACGATGCCAAAATCCTGAATTTACAATTGTCTTTTTTGCATATGGCCTGTGCCCTATCATCATTTGGTCGAAATCTAACTCCTCTACATTTGCAACCTCAAACTAAATTGTTGGGTTTGCATTAAATCCCACCACAACACGTTCAGGTGCATTCGTGTCAAATTGGAAACCGTCATCATTAACCTCATCATCCGAATCATTCAAATGACATTCGGAAGGTATCCATTCCTCTTCTCCAAAAGTCAGGTCTGCAAGAACTGATGTTAGTTAATGGATGATTAAAGATAAGAATTCGATGAAAATGTTAAGAATATAAGTGTTATAATGATAAAATATGATGATATTAAGTAGAATTAAAATGTTAAGAAAAAATTATGCTGTGAATACAATTAGCCTTAAAAAAACTCTAAAAGTTAAAATTTTGTTTATAGAATATCCACTTAAAAATAAATGAAGAAGAATAAGTAGTGTTGATCCATCCCCTGTTACTCGCCAATAATCATTAATTACAAATATCTTTAGTATTGTAATTCTCTATTTTTTTTTATTTTTTCTCCAAACCCCATCTCTCTTAGCACAAAGACGTGCAAATATCTGTTCACTATAGGGAAAAATTCAAATGACACGGATCTTCACAATGTCGACCACAAGAGCGAGTGCAAAGAAATGAGTTTTGGAGATGACTTGGTTCTAAACAAAGAATTGTGGTCCCATAAAATAAAAATTAGATCGATTTTTCAATGTGCTTCCAAAAAAAAGAAAATAATAATAATAATAATAATAATAATAATAATAATAATAATAATAATAAAATAAAAAATACACAACTAAAAAATTGTGGTCCCAACAAGAGAATATTTAAAATCCAATGAAAAGTCTAATAAATTTACCATGTGGTGGTTCTTCTTCATCTATCATCAATATTGTTTCTTCCATTGTGATATTGCATTCCATACCAAGGCAAGGAGATTTTCTTGCTTCAAATATTTTGATTTGCTCAGGATTACTCACATTTGGAAGAACATTGATATAGATGATGAGGGAAAGAGGGTTTTGGTGCGAGACTATGAGTAGAGAAAAATCAGTGTATCTGGAGAAAATGAGTTTTAATTTGTGGTCCAGTTGGCGTGATTAAATCTTTTACTTGCCACGTCATATTTCCATCGAACACGTGGCACATTACGTTGGTTGAAGATAACAGAGATAAAACAGGAGATGAACGGGTAAGATATTGAATAGATGGGTGAGCAGTGGGTTATATTTTATTGTCCAGTGAGCAAGTAGTAATATAGGTTAAAGTTCAGTGAGCATTCATTAAATTAACTCCCCAAATGAATATAACTCCTCAAGAATCATCAATCTATCCTCCAAAATCATCCAATATAGATCTACAGATTTTCGCCCATCAATTTTATAGCACCATCTAATCCTCAATTGCTGCTTAGAGAAATGTCCACATTGAATACACATAATTTTTTTAAATCTCAAAAAAGTCTTTAAAAATCTCACTTGAATATATCTCCTTAATAATCATCAATCCGTCTTCCCAAATCATCCAATATAGATCTATGGATTTTTCCCATCAATTTTATGGCACCATCAATTCCTCAATTGTTGCTTAGAAACCCTCATTTCATTGCCCCTACAATACTCGAAAATCGTGAAAATAAATAAATCCAATCCCTAAAAATCTTCAATCCATATTTTGAAATTGTCCTTCTTATGCTGTCTAAATCATTCGGTAGATTGAACAACTGAGATGCTGATGCTTAGAATTCTTCTTGTTATATCTCTGCAGGATAGGAAAATTTTGATTGTTAGTTTTAACTGTTTGTTTGTTTTTGTTTGTTTCGTGAAGTTGATATGTGGATGGATGGTATTTTATTTTGAATTTGGTCAAGCAGTATATTAGTATGAATCAATCAGTTTACGCATGTACTCGTTTGTAAATATTTTCAGTTTTCTAATCCAAAACTTATTTTACTCCTATTTTGAGAATTTGTTTAGCCCATGTATTGGATGAAGTTGTATATTACACTGTATTTTGTATGCTTAATTCATTATTCATTCTTACGTCTGATGCATTACTATATGTGCAATCTGGTAGTTTAAACAAATAAATTGTACTGAATTGCATTTCAATTGATGCATTACATGTATAATGTTGTAAGATATAAAATTCAGGTTTATATGTATTGTAAGCTGTTTATTAAGGTTTGGTAAATGTAATTGGATCATGTAACATTTTTCATTGTATTTTCTTACATATTTAGCACTTTAATATCATGAATTATATATTTATTGGCATTCATCAACTACCTTGGTCTGAAGATTTACATCAATTCAGAGTATGGATTTATGATTCAGAATAACATGCAATTCCATCAAAAATGTGAGTCATTTGATCAAGATTTAAATACTATCCCTTTCTTTATAGAAATTCAAGGCCTAATACAAATCAGATGTTTATGAATTTGTAAAATTCATTTCCTAGATTCAAACATAGACTTGTAAAATTAAAGATGTATAACATCCCATTTGAGCAT